TAATCTTGTAAATTTATTTGCTCTGATATATAGTATTTTTTATATTTGTTTTAGAGTTTTCTTACCAAATCAATCAAAGAATATATTTCTAAATTGCAACGCGATTGTTTCGCGTCTGTAATATTAATTCAATTAAAAATACTTAGTATGTCATCGGCAACAGACTCAAATAAAATTTATTCTAATATTGTAAAAAGAAATATAGAACAAGAATTAAATTTAAAGGATGGAGATGTTATCTTTTTAGCTTGTGGAGACAAATTTCTCACAGTAAGTGTGTAAATACAAATTTTGTAGTCTTCACAGATATACTAATTTTGTTTATAAAATTGTAGCAATCACTATTGGGAAAAATACGTGTTGAGTTCGCAGATTTAATAGAAAGCAGAAAACAAAAAATTCGATCTCCTGGAAATGAAATTTTATGGATCACTGATTTTCCATTATTTACATTTAATCAGGAGGAAAACAAATTAGAAGCTATGCATCATCCATTTACACAACCTCATCCAACTGATATTTGTTACCTTTCTGAAAATCCGACAATGGTAATATTACCACTTAAAAACGTTAACATTATGATAATGTACTCAAGATTGAGTTAAATAATTATTTAATTGTAGGTAAGAGGATTGCATTATGATTTGGTTATGAATGGCTCTGAAATTGCCGGAGGATCAATACGTATTCATGAATCAAATTTACAAAAACAAGTATTGAAAATGTTAAATATAGACGAATCATATTTGGAACACATGATTTCGGCTTTAGAGTGTGGTGCTCCGCCACACGGTGGAATTGCTTTAGGTATTTTTACTTAAGTTTAACAAATAATATATTAAAAGAAATATTGTTTAATATTTCAATTTTTTCAAGGGTTGGATCGTTTAATGTCTTTACTGTGCAATACAGAATCTATAAGAAGCGTAATAGCGTTTCCAAAAACTACAGTGGGTCGTGATATGATGTCAGGAGCACCAGTTTCAATTTCAGATAAGGAGAAGTCGTTATATCATATACAAACAACAGAGAAGTAAAATAATAATTTTTTAAGTATTTGGTGTATATTGTAATATAATGAAAATAATGAAAAAGAGATAAATGAATACAATATCAATAAAAATTGACCGTAAATATCTTTTTATTTTACATACTGTAATCTGTTGTTAGATGACTACGAGCTTCGAATGACTTCGATCTTAAAAATTTGAAGGTGAACTTTAAATAAGAAATATATTTATTGTATTTCAATCTTTAAATCTTTGAGTGACGATACAACTGTCAAATTAATAGATAAATTTATACTTCCATTAAATTATTTTGGAACTACCGAAAAACTTTCATAAAATACAATAGACGTAATATCATACTTGTTACTCGAATTTTATTTCAAGAACCTGTTTTACGATTTACAATAGTCGTGTATGTATATTGGATTCCTGTAACTACAGAGTTATAAATAAAATATTTCTTATGACAGTGATCACAAGTGCAATCCGTTTTTTGGAATTCACAAATATCTCGTTCGTATTACACTTTCGTAACTATATGAATAGTCATAAATAAATCACGGTAAATGCAGCTGATACAACCTACAAAAGTATAAAAATAAACTATCAAAGACATTACCGGATTCAAACGAAATTTCTGCACAGTATCTGTAATATATCACAAATGAGAAATTTATCGTACGGGAAAAACGGAAGTTTAACAGGGAAATCATATCATTTAAGACTCGCAGCATTTGAACAGCGTTATAGTTACTAGAAACTCCACTGATTTACTTCATTGGAGTAATTAAGTTATATTAACACACGTATTATTTAGCTTCGAACAATCACATCGCTATACAGTATATATCGTAGTATCACTTAACGATCTTCAAAATGATTATAAATTGTGAACAATCGTTAAAAAAAATTATACCCACAAAAATGAATTCTTGTAATATTGAGTGTTTCACTGGTAAGGTAATATTCAACCATCGTTGAAAACGAATGTAGAAATAAAATGATAAGACCAAATTTTGATGTACAAAAAAAGTGTTTTATTAGAATTTTTCTCCTTTCTTTTCCAGTAAATCTCAATCGTTCTGTGAAAGTACTTTTCCCATTTCTTTTTGTTTTGAGAACAGAAAAATTTGCTTTGCGCACGTATATAAATTGTTATCAGTAAGAAAAATTCAAATATATGCATACTTTTTGGACACACTTAAAAGAACATGTAATTAAAAGTTTTCTAATAAACGTGTTGATATGTTGTTACGTTTACTTGTCAGTGGAAGAGAATTTTATCTGACCGCAAGAATATTCTCTCAGCTTAGTGAACTGGAACATAGATAAATACGGTCGCTAAAGTTTTTAATATTTTTCTTTTCACTCCCTCGAACGGATTCTTGTGATATACAATTATACAAAACAATACGGACTACTTCTTTGTTATTGTATATAATACAATTGTCCTGAATCGTAACCCTTATTTACTACTTACTTGTACACGTAAAAAAAATATATGGTTTATGAAAAAAAAAAGCGTTGAGTACACACTTTATGAAATCCAGTAATTCAAATTGCAATTAGTTACCTCATTATCTCGATCGAATAATCAAAATATTTCTCTTTAAGGATCAGAAGAACAATAAAATGGAAGTCCTGACGGTGATCGTGAATAAAATGTAACATTAAAAATGTGCGTACTCTCGTGTTACCATTGGAAGATGTCGCGTCACTGTCCAGTCTTTCAAGCTGATGGCAATTCAATAATCCGGATGTTTCTTTTCGTATGTTCCTAGTTCTCTAAGTCACGCTACCATGAAATCATGTTGTAACGTTCGGCTGGTTCTAAATTGCGCAGATAATGTAAATCTTCGATCCTAGAAATTAGTACTGACCGTGACACTACAATTCATTTATATAAAACACTCGACAGTAACTCGTACGAGAACTTAACGTAGGAACTTAGACAGCGAGCCGTAACAAATGTCTAGATATAAATAATTTAAGCGACGAATTGTGTCGGCGAATCACAATACATTTGGTATCCTCTCATTCTTCTTTTTCTGTATTCAACGAATATTTTCCTAGAATATTTCTCTATGTTTCGAGCGCCATACAGTATATGGCTATCTTGAGTTTAATTCTAAATCCCTATGTTAAGTAGCCGCATGAATCGACGATTACGAGAAAGGGCTCAATTTTGCAGTTTCTTGTTTCTCATCTTTCATTCATTTGACAATGACAGTAAACATGATCTGATCATACGAAGTCGGTAGTTTTGTTTGCGATTGATCGCGTATCCGCGTCGCGCAACACAGCAGAATTAAAAACGTGCGATCGAATTTGACAAAGAATTCAAATCCATAAAAAAGAATGTTTTATATTTTTTTCGACTTTTCTTTTCTCAATAGATATATGTATGTACAAAGTGATGAGGGTGACATCAAGTTATCTCAATAAAAAGGGAATCGTTAATCTTTTTCTTTACGTTCCTAACTTGGAACAGATAAAAGACCCGATCGGTCAATCGTCTTCAGTTTCCGTTAAAGCGTCGTATGATCGCCGATCGGATCGGAGTTTCATCACGTAACTTGTCACAGATATATACAAATTCTGTTTTCTTCTTTTTCCTTCTTTTCGAGAACACAGTGTTCACAAACGTAACAGAAAGTCTGCAGTTGATCAATATACCGTCAGTGTTTGAGACATACCCGTTCGATTTTATAAGTTGGCAGTATGAGATAGTGTGTTTAATCTATATACGTGGATCGATCGTGGTACTTTCAGGAGACGATTTCACTTATACCGTCTCTGAACGTCTGTATCTCGTGTCGTAGGACGCATTTCTTAAATAACATAATCGGTATACATCGTTTGCTCCGACACAGAATCACGATATAGTTGCACACACGTTGTTTCGTCATTTAGAAAAATACTATTTTACAAGACGAGGCGAATTCTCCCATATTCAACTTACAATGTAATGCATTCGAGCTCACGAAACTCGGAGATATACAAGCAAACACGTTCTACGTACAAAGATACATTCTCGCGTAGTTACCGACACGCACGCAAGCACGCACATACATACATATACACATACAAACGCACTGCAGTAGGTGGAATTGATTAAACAATACACAAACGCGCAATCGTACGTACATACATACTCGCACGCTTTTCGTATAGTTTATTATAATTGTCTACTTTTGCATAAAGTATGTTAAGGAAAACTTCTAGAAATTCTAGAGGACACTGTGAATATAATGATATATATGTACATGTATGATAAAGACAGGACTATATAATCGAACGGACAGAACGTGCACAAATAAATTGTAAACGCGTGCGACAAGTTGCACAAAATTGTGTAATACTACATCCGATGGAATTTCTCTTGCAGCGACAATAACATTATAGAATAGTCTTTACATCGTATCGAACACGTGTATAGTCAAACCAGACAATCTCGTTCGACTATTTCAATTGTATAATACAACAAATTATGGATTGTCAATTTCTTCTTATTTTTCTCTTAATAATTTTTATATTAAAAACAGTGACCCGCGCGTGTGCAAGCACTCTGTCCATTCGAGTATACCTGTTTTCCTTATTGAAGATGAGACGTCATGTTGCAATGACATGAACATTAAAATTTACTGAATTACTGTGAGACGATTAGACTTAACCGCACTTTCAACCGTCATCGAATGTTTCTCACCCGGCCTGCCGGTTCCACGCATGTAGATTAAAAACGGTACCATATCTAGAATAATACATATCTAATAACATAAGTGCCGTCAATGGCAGTATACTTTCTGAATTATTATACCTTTATCGCATGGAAGCCGTAAAAATATTTGTGATACCTTACTGCCGTCAACAGAGTGTCTATTTCGAACGTCCGCATGTTTATAGTGCACAATAAATAAGCTCGATAACTATCGTTCTTATGCACTCGACGATGTGTCGTTGCATATTGTTTAAATTTCGAGTAGACACTGTTAATGACAAGGTTTGAGAACAAAATATATCCCTGATTTCGGACGGCCACTGGGGAGAAATTTAAACAACGTAACCACAATCACTCGATTTCTATCGATACAATACACTCATTAGAATTTCTCCGTACGCAATATTAGCGGCTACGATTCACTGTTTTTGGATACTAATACCCTAGAATTGGACGAAAGCACACGTGTATGTGCATTTACGTGTCCCAGAACTTCATGTGTACATAGCATATGATATTTCTTCTTAAGTATTATCTTTACGAATTCATTCACGTTTTTTCTTTATTTTTCATTAGTACTTCAAACTTGTTTCTAGTAAGCTGATTTGCTTAGTCAAATATTCTATGTACATGTATAATCTTGCTGGAATAGTTTATCGTGGATTAATTTCTTTTCTGTGACAATCCCAAATGTGTAAGTGAAATATGACTTCATGGAATTATAGTCAAAAATACAATGTAATAATAAAGATGCGTATGTAAAAATCATTGACTGTTCCGAAACTAGTTTAAATATAAAATTTCAAAAGTAACTGGACAAATCAGTCACACACCACAATAAAGAAGACCAGCTTATACGAGTCAGAGGCTGAACCCTATTAGGTTCAAATTTACAATTCAAAAGTTTTTCAGTGTAGGATAGATAATTCTGTATCATTATGCTACACACAGGTACACAAGAAGGAATTATGTACACAAGATGACACATCCAAATACTAGTGATATTTGTAGTATGCTTTGAGAAAGAAGTGAAGCAACAGTATATCACGGTTCTTAAATATTGACAACGTATTACGATGATCACATACATCGCACCATAGAGTACACGACGACGAAGATGGCGAAATACATAAACAGTAGATGATGTACTCAAAGCGAGCTATGAACCAAGCAGGCCAATCCTGGATAATACAGCAAGTCCTCAGCTTCTTGGGTTCATTCCAACACTGGCATTTTAATCTTGCACAAAATTATGTAAACTCTTACAAGCATTTCTCACCCAGTGTTTAATGCATTAATTTTATGCACTTTCATCAACAGTTGGTAACCAAAATGCCATATTGGTACATGCTGATGCTAACATCATATATTTAGGATTAAATTGAATACATTGAACTGGTGCAGGATGATCACCGTTAAGCACGCAAACTTTGTATCCCGTTTCAGCATTCCATACATGCACTCTACCATCAGTAGATCCACTGAATACAAACTGTGAGTCGGGACTAAAGCTAGCTTCAATTGCAATTCCTTTATTGTTCAGATAACCAGCAAATGTCTGTAATGGTGTTCCATGAAATGCATCGATCAAACGAATGGTGCTACCATTTGTGGAAATCAGTATAGTTTTGCCATCTCTGCTGAACTTCAATCCTGTCCAGTCACACTCCTTTTCTTGTGATAATTTAAATGTAACAAATGGCCCCTTGTCAAAACTGCGCAAGTCATATAATTTAATGAACTCGGAATTGACACCTGCTGCAAAAATCAGACCTTCTGGATCATAGGCAGCAACTGGGCGTCCAGAAACATTCATAACACCATGACAATTAGGTGAACGTAAATCCCATAGTCTTAATGATTTGTCTAAAGAACCGGAAAGAAATGTGTCTTCTATAGGACTGATGCATAGCGACACAACTTTCTTGCTATGCCCTGGGAAGTATCTTATATACTTGTTGTCGTGTAGGCTTAGATAACGAATCGTATCGTCAATCTTAGTACTGCTGTGTATCGCGGTATTCTTCGCATGTGTGAAATGTATTAAATCTACACCATATTTTTTCGAATTGACTGTACGCACCTGAGTGCCTTTCTCACAGTCATATATCACGATCTGATCATCCTCTGAACAAGAGATCAAAGTATCTCCGTTCGGTGAAAAGTCAATGCTGTTTATGCGGTCGGAATTTTCACGAAAAACCTTGGCCACCTTGAAGCTCCTCACCACGTGGTCAACGAGCTTCATGGTGATGGACGGCGCGATCTCCCTCTCGTGCCGTCCTCTTAACCTTCCTGTTTCCGCAATGTCTTGCTCTTTCCTTTGGTATAGCTTAGGCGCCGAGGCGCAAACCTCCCGAGGAGGGGTCAGAGGTTCGACTATGTACCACTGTTATTCACCTCGCGAGAAAGAAAAAACCCGCGGGGAGTTCAAGAGGTCAACGAATCCAAAACGAAGTTGAAACTATTAGTCGATTACCCTTCAGTTACTGAATCCTACTTTTCTCAATACCAGCTTCCTTTTTTCTACCAATTCGTTTTACTTTAATCTGACAAAGGTGTATCCTTCAATGCCTTCTCGCTTTCCTACGAACGGACGCCGACGGCAGACTATCGTCACACCGAACGCTCAAATTCTGCCAACTGTTTAGAGAAACGGATGACGAATTACCGTGAACATTCTCAAGATACTGTATATTCGTACCGTGAATAGAGCTATCGATCTGCGTTGACGTCGTCGATGCAACGCCTTTCTAAGAGAAACTGTTTTACCGACAGATTCGAACGAAATTTAAACTTGAAATATTTCAAATATTTTGTGTTTGTATTCCCAAATTATATTGTTGATTGCGGATATCAGTGATACAAAAAATATTTATTTCATAAAATAATTCCAATCGTGCATGAAATATTTTCCAAAGTACAATATAAAAGAATTATATATCTGCATAGAATAATAATAAAATTTGAAAAATATTCAAAGCTTTTACAGTGTATTATGGTTTTAAATGATAACTTAATTCCGTACTCTACTATGTACACTATTTTGATGAAAGCGGCACGAATTTGTGAATACAATAACTTGTTACAATGAAATCATCATTATATCTACCATTTCTGTTTGACCATGTTGACGATTTTTCATTTGTTTGAAACCTCCCTCATTTTGTCTACCTTTCTCTTTCGACAATCCGGAAGGCAAACTATGATCGGCAAAAATTTTGCTACAAGCTTGTGTTCAGTGTATTGAATTATAAGTTTATGACTAGAGACATTAGTATCAATAATAAATACATATTAAGCATGCTGTAATATTGGTACTCTCTTGCTATACATATCTAAAACTTTTAATAATATTCGTTAGAAAAAGCCTTCTGTGCTAAACATTCGTAAATGAAATAAAATGCTACAAAACTACGCGTCGTTAAATAAAATGTAAAAGAGCGATGATACGACAGGTATAAATACATTTTACGATTTATTACGGAACCATTTGATTTTTTCTTTTTTTGCAGCATAAAATTTCATACAATATCGGTATACTTAAAAAGTAATTCGACGTGAATGAATATTACATCCTTATGTGCAACTTTACTATACAAATTATAAACATATAAAATATGCAATATCACAAAATAACGTCTTTTCTCTCATTATGCCTTGTCAATTGCATAAAGAAGAAAAGTTTTTAGCTTTGCGAAATCATAATTAGACAGCACAAACATAGTTCTATATTAGTATAAAATATGAGTTAAAGTTCTGTTTGATTATCACTTTGACANTTATCTTACTAGATAATAACTTTTGATTATATCAAACACATGCATAGTTGCAAATGCAATTTTTTTTCGTCAGTCAAGTTTTTGTTGATACTTATTTATTACATTTTCAAATAAAAAC